ATGTATTAAAGATGTGACATACAGGTTCGGCCAATTCGTACGCGAAATCCTTAATAATCCGGTTAGGAATATTGTCAGGACCGCTGGATTTGAAAACTTCCGTATTGAGCATCTTAGTGCAAACTTCGTCAGGGAAAATTTTTGGTACAGGCCTAGGTGCAGGGAGGTGCATGATACGGTGGTGGAATATACATAAATTTTCGACGACGACGATACATACGATACTATTAAATACGCACTCCGTACACTCGTTTACTATATAAGTAGTATAATTATAGTTACATAAACGTAATATAAATTTCTCTGCTGACGTGTAAACATACACGCCCACAACACTGATCATATGCTTTCTTACGTTATCTAATGAACGATATTCATAACATGCATTTAGAAAACATTTCAAAACCCAGTTATAATTTTGATCACACTCTTTATAATCAACCACCAAAACATTACCCCTTTGTCTTAGAACTACTTTAAAATAAACAGATTCTTCATTGCTACTTGTGTTCATAAAAATACATAATTTTACAAATGCATTGCAACGTATCAATCTAATACAATGTACACCTAAATATCGGCGACCTCAATTTTCCATGACATAACATCGTAAGTTGTCTATGCTCATTCGGTGTCACAGTGAGCAATTTGAACGCGTTCAAGAAAGTCGCCATCCTCGTTCTTCTCGATCATACGATACGGTAAAGAGAAAACGCATACCAAATATTCCAATCGCTAAAATGAGCCTCAAATCTATGCAGCACGTAATGAGCAATTTCTTTCTCTCGATTGTAGATATATTCTTTATTTATAATAAATTGACAAAAATGCATAAACGACGCCACAAAAGTCTCGATTTCTTCTATCCTTTGGCTTCGGTACGCATCGGCCATAAAGGGAAGCTGTACTGCATCAAAAAATTTCTCTCCAATCAAATTAACCATATACGTGTAATCTGAATAGATGTATACTCTAAATTTTTCTCGTTCGTGAGATACTATAAACACAAAACTATCGTCCTCAAAATGATCAGTTAATTTTTCAAATATAAACTTTACCTCGTACAAACACCCAAACGACAAGATTGTGTTAGCCATATTTAAATCTAAATTGCATTACTTCAATCATCATTTCCCGTGGAAACTCGTCAATCACTAATCAACATGGGTAAACAAAAAGGCGGTAATTTTAAAGGTAAAAAATATCAACGATCTAAACAAGACGGTGGTTTTTTGCTACCCATACTTTTGGGTAATGTATTAAGACCTCAAAGACAACGTCGAGCACCCGCAAGGCACTACCCACCACCTCAATATTATACACAAACGCCCATAAGAAGAAAAAGAAAGAGAAAAACACAACAAGGTGGAATCGTAAAAGGAGAATGGGGCCCACACAATTTAGGAGGTCTAGTGCAAATTACTCCAAAAATGATTCAGAGAAGACAAAAAGGTGGGTTCCTAACAAGTGCTGTCAATACAGGATTTTTGGCTTATTACGGAGAACATGATGCCGGGAAAAAAACCCTTGGGTTAAAAAAACAACACAAAAAGGTGATTACATACATACATAAAAGAGTTAAAAATGCCTTCTGGTAAAAAAATAAAAACTCTCTCTTTCATGTGGGTTTTTCACAAAACTAGGAACGAACATATCTATTGGTATGGCACGGTTAATGGGTAAAAGCAACCCCGAATCAGAAAGGCGTTTTAAAAAGCGAATGGATGACCACCATAAAAAAATATATGGCAAATCTATGTATTAAAAAGAACTTTTTTCCAGGTGGTATAGTACAAAAGTGGGATCAGCGATGGCCATTGTTTGATGATCATTTTTTGGCTAGCATTGCAAAAAAAAATAAAAAAGGAGGTACCGTATTTGGTAAAGCTTGGCGACAATCCAATCGAGTGTATCAAAAGGGAAAAAGGACTTAAAAAATGTCAAAGAAGTAGTGGTGGTCAAAAAGGTGGTATTTTTGGATTCTTAGGAGGAATAGAAGAATTTGAAAAAGCAGCAAAACGAGATTAATTAATACCAAAAACATGTATTAAATTTCTATATTTGTATACCGTTACTTATTAAAATTGGTGATAAAATATTACGCTGAATTTTTCTACATTTATTGTTTTGTCTACATTCGTATACCAATTCGCCGTGCATGTTTGATTCATTTAATCTGTATTTTAAAATACCACGCCAATCACATACTTTCATCGCCTTGCTTCGTAAACACGACCACGCATTATCTTCGGTCTCTTCCTCGGCAATCTTTATATGCATGTAAGTCGACGAATCCATTTCATGAAAACAAACACCGCAACCACCGTCGGGCACAGGACAAGACAATGGACAAAGGACAGGTTGACAAACACAACGAAGTTTGTCCCGTGCACGTTCAATCTGCGGTACGGATCGACGATACGAACATTTTCCCTTTGCGCATACGAACAACACTTGTCCCCGAGCCGGCGGCGCGAAGCGCCGTGCGAGGGTACTAATTCCCCCCGGCTATTTAGACCCGGGGAAACGAAAGCATTAGCGAAGTCTAAAGTTCATCAATGAGCGCGGGCATCGGTCACCAACGATGGGTGGTCATCCTCACTGATCTCAAAAATACGGCGGATTGTCCCGAATAACGGACACTGATTGGTTCAACTTAAAGTTTGCATTATAACGACTGCATGACGACAGCGAAATAGCAAACATTTCTTGATTTGATGATTGATAAATTTCTTGCAAATATATTTCATTTTTGCTCGTATTTCTGCACGATTTTGTAAATTTCAAGA